ATTAGGAAAAAAAGGGAAAGAGAATAAAGATTATTAATAATAATATAATATAATATAATAATATAATAATATACTATAGTAATATAATACTAGTAACAATAATAATAAATAACAATAATAATAATAATAATACTAACAAAAATAATGATAATGATAATATAAAAAATCGGCACCAATTGACCCCAAACACAGATAGGTGTCTATTCTTATCATAAGATATTTTATTTATTTATTAGAAATTATTTAGACACATCCTGATTCTTTGGCGAGATCCAAAAATTTATTAAACAGATTTTAAAATTATCTTAACTCTTCGATCAAATCCTAAAAATTTTAGACAAATTTTAGGATCATCCCAATCTTCTAATGAGATCCTAAAAGAAATCATTATTTTATTAATGATAATTAAGAGATTTATTTAATTAATTAATTTTTATTATGATTATTTTAATTTTTTTGTTATTATTTATTATTATTTCTTTTTATTATTTAAATGAATCATTTATTTAGTAAAAAATTTTGTTTTTTGTTTTGAATTATCTCAACTATTTGGTGAGATTTAAAAATATTTTTTTACTTGCATTAATTAAAGAAAATTAAACTCTTTCAATTTTCTTTTAATATTGTATTAAAAAAATTTTATTCAAACAAATAATTGTTATTATTTTTTATTTTATTTTTTTATATAATAAAAGTAATTTCTTGAATCATTCTAACACTTTAGTGAAATTCAAGAAATATTTTTTCAAATTTTATATGTTTTTCATTTATTAGAGTGAAATAGAATTATTTCCATTTTTCTTAATAATTATTATTTATTTATTTTTTTACATTTTTTAGGATTTATTTTAAATTAAGAGTTATTAGTTAAAATTATCGCTTTGATTTTATTATTATTATTATTATTATTATTATTATTATTATTATTATTTGTTTAAAAAAATCTAACAAAAAATAACAAAAATCAAATCAAATCAAAATAAATTAAAATCAAAAAATAAAATAAAAATTAAAAAAATAAATCTCACTAAACAGATTAGGTGCATAAGTTTGCGTGCAAGTCATGGGTCACTCCACGGGTTCTGACTCCAAAACAAGACTATTTTGACATGTTTATAAAATGCCTTTTTTATTTTTTTTTCCTTTCATTCTCTCTCTAAAAAATGAGTGCTTCACTCTCTAGAATTTCAACCTATCATTAGCAGCAGTGTAATCTAGTTTTCAATCAGTTGTCACCGTGTATCGATGATCAAAAACTTTAACCAGTACCGAAAAGTTTAAAAAATATATAAAATCCGACCAACTTTTCAAATTTCAATTATTGAAAAACTCAATCGATCGTAGGAAAATTCATCGAACGTCAAAAAATTTAAAGTTTTTTCAAATTTTGGTGATCCCAAAAATTTTTCAAAGAAATTAAAAGAATGGCTCGAATGATCTTTTTTATCTCCCAAACCCTTTTATGAAATTGTTTTTTTCAAAAAAAATTCCAAACACACCAAATCGAGATTTTCATTCTTAGTTTTTTTTTTTTTTGAAATTTTTTTTTTTACTTTGCTATTGGTTTCTTCTCTAAGAGGATTGTGTTTTTTTTTTTTTTTTTTTTTTTTGTGCTTGTGAGTATTTGTTTGTGAACCAAATAGCTGACCTAAAAAATACCATTGATTGCTTTCTTTCTTCATTTTTTTGCAGTGCTCTCCCTTCGATTCTTTCTCCATGTTCTAGCAATCTACCTATGCTTTATGTTGTGTTTCTCCCTCCCTTTTTGCTTGCAGGAATTGGCTCCATTTGTAAAGCCTTTTGAGTCTTCAAATCCAAATAATATGGGATTCAAAAAGACTTTCATACCCCTATTTAATCTATGCTACAAAATTAGGTTTGTGGCAAAGGAAAAACAATCACTCAATAGCTTAATTTCAGCTACTAGAATTAAAATCTAAAATTTTAACTTTGTTTTTATTTTGTTTATTTATTTATTTTTATTTTAGATAAAATAAGTGTCCATAATGGAAAATAGATAATTCTATGAATGATAAAAAAAACTTTAGAATTTGTGGACAGAATTATCATGGGATAAGATCTTTTTTTTTTTATTACAGGTCAAAATCATAAGTTTTCTCAGCTATATATCTACAAATCTCTTTTAAACCTTTTTATTATTTGATGTGAGTGTTCTTTAAAAATTAAATTGCATTTTGTATTATCAAAACTACATAGATAGCAAAAAATAAAAATTGTTAGAGAATTTTTATCATATAAAAAAAATATATTTGAACAACTAAAATTTGGTTATTTAGTCGTCACTTAAGAAAAAAATAAGTCTCAATAATAATTCCTTTGCTTTAGTTTATGAAATTATAAGATTTATTTAAATTTATTATTAAATATCTTATTATTCAACTGTCAATTATATATATATATATATATATATATATATATATATATATATTGAACTCACAGCGAAAGTACGAGTACCCTACTAGTTACTCTAAAAAAAATCTGCCCTCTTCCCTTAATTTCGTTTTAATGCTTTTAACTATTAGTATTTATAAAAGAACATTTTTGAAGGAAGATTAAGGTGAAAAGGAAAATTACTTTTTTTTATGGCAAATCAAAGATTTTGTTCCATTTTTTTAATTTAATTCTTTCAAAAATTAAAAAATATATATATCTAATTCAATTTAAATTAATAATTATATCCATATTTTTTTCTCTTTCATATCAAACATAAATAAATAAATAAATTTTATTCCTCTGCTTTTATTCTTCTTTTCTTCTCATCAAACATAATGTAATTTTTTTTTTTTTATCTTTTTGGACTACAATTGGTGTAAGGACACACCTTTGCTTATTTATCTTTAGTATTATTACCATTTACCCGTAGTTTTAGTGGTATATTAATTATGTAGTGGTAAGTATGTATCTAAACTTTTTTAGATATGTAGAATTAATTAAAATGGAACGAAACAAATTAGAAAAATATATAGATGAGAGGAGACAAAAATTAAAAAAAGCATTAATACCCTAATATTATAAAGAAAATCTTAATTAATGCATGATTCATGAATTAAAAAATGTGGTTAAGTTATAATATTATATTTTTTGTGTTGTAATGGAATAGGTGACTTATTTGTAGATTTGTTCATGAATATGATCAAATTGAGTTCAGCTAAGCTTAAATAAGATATTAACAAATTTTTAAATTTGTCATGATTAGGTTCGGTTCGAAATATGAATTTTATTTTGTTGTTTAGACTTGGTCTATTTTTAAAATACTTTACCCATATCTGCTCATATTTTAATTTTTTAAAATGAAAAATAAAAATAATTTCATAATAAATATTAATTATGATAAAATAAATAATTAATAAAATAAAACCTAAAAAAATATTTATTAATTTAATTTCATATTTAAATGTGATTAGTATATGTAGTCATAAAATATTAATATATACATATATTATTTTAGTTATCTATTTATTTTTATGTAATATAAATAAAAATAAAAATATATAATAATTATTTAGATCTAGTCGAATCAGATTTTAAATTTTATGTCTAAGGCCCGATTCATTTTTTAAACGAAACTAAAACTTAAATTTAAATTCATTTAATGAGTCTAAAATTTTATATTACTTGTTATTAGAAATTTCTCATTGAAGGAGACTGATCCTTGATTGTTTGAATGATTAAAGGTCTTAGGATATGGAAAATGATGCAAGTAAGAAGCTGCAAGTTTGTTACCGGGATATATAATCAGCATCAAGTTGGGAGAAATCGTCCCAGCACATGCACGTCTCCTTGGAGGTGATCCGGTCAAGATTGATCAGTCTGCCTTAACTAGTGATCGAACAATTACCACCAGTGCACATCAGCTACAAATGCTCTTATGATCTTATTTCTGACACTAGTTAAGAACTTTAAAAAGCATATCTTGAGATCGGAAGCATTGTAGTTTGCCAAGTAATATTACCTGATTGGCTTATTACCAAATAATATTACCTAGTTGGCTTATTCGGTTTGTTTGATGTGTAAAATTCAACATTTGCCAGGTGAAAGCATTATAGTTGTTCTGCATCATGCTCCTGAAGTGAGTATTTTTGTTTTGATGAAGTTCTGCAATGTATGACCTTGTCTTTTCTTTCTGTTATTGATATTGTTTACTGTAAATTTTGTAGTAATGGATGTAGAAGATATACACGAGAAGGCTTTGTTTCCTCTGTTTAGTGACGAATTTAGGATTTTTTTTAGAATGTTCACTTATAATATATATAAAATATTATCAATGGATTTATCAATTTTATCAATAAAAAAGATGTCCAGAAAAAAAATTTTAGAAGTGTCAGGAGAAGGTTTTCTTTTTTTTTTTTAATTTTTTTTTCCAATTTTGGGATGTCTACAGAAATTTTGAGTGTGTCCAAAATGAAAACTTTCCTTTTAAGTTTTTTCGTTTTTCAATTTTTTGGGTGTCCATCAAACCGCTTGGATCCGCCCCTGCCTCTGTTATTCTTGAAGCTTCGGAACTACAAGGAAGGAAGATAACCTCTCTACTGAGAATTTGACTTGGGTTAATTCTTGTCTGATTACAGATGGAGAAATTTTGGAAAGTAATTGAACTTCTTTCAAAGATGTTTTGATAGAGATCATTAGCGATCAACCTGTGTCGATTGACTCTCATGCAATAGGAATTTATGGTTTTGCTAGAGGATGTATAATTAAGATAGTAGCTTCAATTGAGGGGGCAGAGGTTGCTAATTATTATTTAAAAATCTGACAAGACATTAAATACCTCCTTTAAAGAAATAAGTTTAAAACCATCCATTAGGAAATAAAGATTTTAAAGTGCCTTCCTATTGGAAAAAACTCAGAAATATATATATATATATATATGTATGTATGTATTACACTGATTCACAGTCCCTACATCCATTCAGTACTTGATCTGATATATATATATATATATATATATATATACATATATATGTGTATGTATGCATGTATTACACTGATTCGCAGTCCCTACATCCATTCAGTACTTGATCTGCCTTCCCCTGCTGCTTGATGCCACTCCTAAACGCAAATACAAAGTCAAGGTTGTAAAGCACAGGGACCATAGTGACGGAGCACAAGAACGCAAGCACCGGGCCAAAGATCCATAGCAGGAGAGGCAATGCAGCGTAGAAGAGCCTGTTGCCTACAGTGTTCAAGAGGAACCCCTTTTCCAGCAGCTCCGACACGTAGTCTGGAGTGACGATGAAGGCGGGTTCTTGGGGAGTGTTGATAAGGATGTTCACTTGGCTTATGAACCTGATAGATAAAGAATGGCAGAAAAAGGAGAAGAGAAAAATGCATAGGATTGTGACATATTTGAGTGCCACCATGAATTCCCCGTGAGCTCCGAAAATGGAATCGTTGAGTGGCTTTTTGACGCTGTAAGTGCTGCTGATGACGGCTGCTAGGCCAGCACACAGCAGGATGGACGTTGTAGCCATTAACGTTGATCCCATTATGGTGTTTCGAAGCGTTTGGACAGCCAGGATGTTCTTCTTGTCGTTGTCCTGTCACCCACCCAACAACATGCATCAGATCATAGGCAGACCACAGAAATTAATAAGACTTATGAGACGAGGTGAGATTTTAATTAATTGGTTGTTCTTTCCCTTCCTTCCCAATATGAAGCATATGGGGATGGGAAATAGGGGATTTAAAATTATTGTATTTGATTTGATTAAGATGTTTTTTTTTTAAAAAAAATTTTAATATTAAATGTATATATTAAATTTATATCAAAAAATAAAAAATCAAAAAAATAAATTAAATTGATATAATTTAATTCGAATAAGATCATATAAAAATTTAATTTAAATTCATATTAAATTGTAAAATTTTATAAATTATCTAAATAATTTAAATTGAATCCAATTCAATTTAAACCGTTATTACTTTTCATAAAAAAAAAAAAACAATCAGCTAACCCACGGCACAAGAGTTTGCTGTCAAAACAAATTAATTATACTTATTAAACTGAGAACTATTTATGTGGTAAAGGCATGCATTTCTACCCTATATATAGAATATAGTATTGGAAATTTTTCGCAATTCATGAAATTAATAAACAAGACAAAGAATTTAAAAATAATAATAAACAAGACAAAGGAGTACTGATTCAATAAAAAAGGGTTGTTTCAAGTTCATTGGAAGATCCACGTTCATCAAAGCCAGAAGACGTATATAGAAATTACGAATAATGAAAAAAAAAAAAATCAACCAACCAGTGTTTTTCTTTTTGGCTGAGCGGATGCGTGTTTGAGACCACAGAAATTAAAAAGAAAGTTGTATCTGATGAGGCATCTTTTAGTGAAATAATAATAATGATGACGATGATGAGAGGCAAATATTTAAATGAGGAATTTTTTTTTAATTATTTGGGTGTGATTGTGAATGCTACTTAACCTTAAAGCCTCTTATGTCTCAACCACGGCAACACCACTGGTTCTTGTCAGTAACACTAACACACGACTTTGTCCATTATTATTTTCGAATTAAAAGATATACTTTAAGTCAATCATGCATCTCCAGACAGAAACCAACACAATTGGGGAAAAAGCAGTGGGATCGATGAAGTGATAAACTCAAAGGTTAAAAAAAAAAAAGAGAAAGCTTTTATTTAAATAAATGCCGTGCCAAGCAACGCTTCTCTTTATAAATGGTTGGCATTTTGTGGTGATGATCAGAAATGTTGTGTAATTACGCTTTATATGCTAACTCTCAGCTTTCAGCTCACGTTGTTTCATCCATTAACATATGCGTCTCCGCCTAGTAATGATACCACATTCGATTCTCCAAAATATATATTCAGTCCCTTGCATCTATTACAATTAAAAATGAAAGAGAAAAAAAAAAAACAAAAAGAGAAGAGAGTATTTATACCCTCTTAAATAATACTCATGTTTGACTATACTTTTAAATATTATGTAGTAATCATCAAAAGTACTTTTCATCCCCTTAAAAGCACTTAAAAAGGATAGGGGATATTAATTAATATTCTTTAAAAAATTATCTTTAATTGTCTAGATATATCTCAATAAGTGTAGCATAAAATAAATATAAAAATAATATTTATATGAGTTTATATTTAATATGTTATCTATGTATATAAATTTTATATATTATCAATGAATCTAATGATATCATCTTATTAATAAATAAATATCAATATTTAAAATAAATATATAAAAATAATATTATTTTTTAAAATTGATTCATTAATAAAATATTATTATTTGATTTTTTATTAATAAAATGATATTATTCGATTCATTGATAATATATAAAATTCATATACTAACAATATATATATATATATATATTTATATACACACATAACTGACAACCCAGTTAAATATATAAAGACTAAATTATGATACAAAAAAAAAAAAAGAGAGAATAAAAGAAAATTGACATGATGCGTAGCTAGCCAGGTAGAAGTGGTGGGGTTGGGTATCATATTGGAGAGTGAAGAGGGATACCTTCATCATGGCGGAGACCCAGAAGCGTCTTCCACTGGCATTGGTTCCGATGATGGTAGTAAGGGGCTGAGTCCGAACCTTATGCCATAACCAGCAATGATAAGCTATGCTCATCAGAAAGCCTAGTGGCACCAAAACCATGTCCAGATAACACGACCTCCACTCCATCTCTCTCTCTCTCTCTCTCTCCCCCTTACTTAGTCCTTACTCCTTAGGTTAATTCTGCTAAGAGTCTGGGCGTTACACTTCTTTTTATAAGATTTCTAGGGAGTTGAGGTTCACACGCACAGTACTTGGACTAGTTAGAACGCGCGATTCAATCCCACGAAAACAAACCACCTACTACTTTTGCTTTTAAAACTTTAAAGCAAACCCCTTTTTTCTCTTTATTATTGTAATTCCAATATCATATGTTTTATTTATAGACGCAAGCCTAATTATATGCGAGACGACACATTCGTCATTTGTCTCATTCCCCACTTTACCATTTTTATCTTTCTTTTTAGCAAAACAAATTTCCTACTTTTGCAGGCATATGTGCTCTCTGATCACTTTCAGCCGTTAATATTTGCTATATTTACTGTATACCATGTGACGATTCTGTCCGCTATATAAGCATTTATATTATACTAGTATATATATTACATGCAAAAGTGGGGGATTGCGTACCGGACGCAAGGCATCCTCCAGGGTGGGCAAAACCTATTACAACCAGCAGCAGATTATTTTCTTGAATCTACAAACTAAATAGATGCCCATTAATTAATATCATTACATAATTTCTTTTTTCTCAAAAAAAAAAAAGTCTAATTACAATTTCAAGCATCTAGCTAGAATCATATGTTACATCTTACATGTAGTAGCATATAACACATATTTATAGAATGTTTGGTGTACAAAATTATGATGTAATAAGATAATATGATATTATAAATAGAATTAGATTCAATAATATAATTTTATTGTGTGTTTGATGTGTGTAAGGATTAAAATAAAATAATTTATTTACTGATCAAAATTATTGTTCCTCCAAATTTATAAAATTTAAATTATTGATGTAATTTTTAAAGGTATAATAAAATATGTAAGTTCAATATCATAGATTAAAAAATAATTCTCTCCACTTTAGAATAATTAAATAATCTTATACCAAAAAAATAATTAATTCTCCTTGTAATCCTTTTATATATATATATATATATATATATATACACAAACCAAACATATTATCATTTTATTTTATTTATTATTCTATGCATCAAACATTACCTTATATTACTAATTAGTAAATCCAACATTAGAATAATAGCAATCTTTCTTTGAAGAGAGGAGGGGATGGTTTACGAATAGTAAATTAACAATATAATAGAATAGATATGAACTAGCTAGTGTTGTCTAATTACTTTCATTTACTTTATATATAAGCCAGTGTATCATTCCAAGTTTGTATCTAGTACAATTAAAATAGCTTATTATTCAGTGATAATAATTTAATTATAATATAATAGTTAATTATTCAATTAATTATATGAATTTAATATTTTATTATGATTGTAACTTTAAAAAAATAAAAAAGACTTAGAGAATAAAAGTAAAAAGATTTTTTTTTAATTATTACAATAATAATAAAGTATTATATTTATATAATTAATTAAATAATAAATTATTATATTATAATCAAGTTATCAATCACTAAATAATCAATTAACATACTAGAATATACCTAAATAAACTTACACACATTGAAACTTAATCTTAAGATCTCAAAGTTTTAAAACCTCTTTCTTACCATTAAGTCAAGGTCTCAACAAGTAAAAAGAAATTAATTAAGAAAAAATAAAGTTGATGAGATATATAGAGAGAAAAAGAATTATAGTACACTAGATTATAACAAGATAGAATAAAATGATATTATGAATAAAATTAAATTAAATAATATCATCTTATCGTGTGTTTTATATGTGAAAGGATTAAAATAAAATAATTTAATTTATTTGTTAAAATTATATTTTTCAAATTTTATATAATTTAAATTATGAATGTAATTTTTAAATGTATAATATAACCTGTAAGTTCAATCATATAAATTAAAAATAATTATATTCACTTTGGGAGGATTCAGTATAATTAATTCTTTTTATAATCTTATTCTTTTTTTTAAATACAACCTTATATTATATTTTAATATAATATAAAATAATTATCATCATATCTTATCTCTTATCTTATGCATCTAATAACATGAACATATAATACAAGTAATATTCCAAACATTTTCCAATTAGTCCAAACATTCTCATGAGTCGAGTCGAGATGAGACCCAACGACGACTCTTAAGGGATGTATGTGTCTGAAGGCATTAACTTCAACCATATTAAGGTGATTAATTTCCATCTTTTTGAGAAGTAATAAATTAATCAAAGAGACATAAGAAAACGGTTTCGTTTTCATTTTCAGGTGGCTTTGGTTTGGCAATAGACAAAGAGTTACATTTACCTAGGCGAGGCAGCACAACAGGCAAATGACAATTAGCAAGCATTATACACTTATACTTATCCGTTGAAATTAGACAACCCACACATTTTCATTTCATCCCATCTTTCACTCGTTACAACTTACAATATATATAGTGATATACACGTGTATGGAACTCTCTTTTGAATTTGAGGTTGAGATTCTTTAGGAGGAGGAGGAAGGATCATTCTTCACCTACGTTTTTTTTTCTTCTTAAATTATATATATGCCTCGACTCTCTATTAATTCTTGGCAACTAGTTAGTAGCTATAACCCCAATTAATATGTATCAACTTAGGATTTTATCTAATTGGAACCAATTTTCAAACTATCCTAGCTAGTTAGCTAGCTCATTGTTTAATTAATTACTTGTATATATATATATATATATATATATATATATATATATATATTACAGGTACTCAAAGTATACACTTAACTTTTCGACTAGCTAAAGAGAGAAAAAATTTACGTGAAATTTTATAAGTTAAGTTTATAAAATTTTTTATTATAAATGAGTAAATCAAAATTAAAATCGAAAATCAAAATCAATAAATTAAAAAATCTTATCACATGGATCAAATAAATAAAATTTGAAAATTTTTAATTAATTTGAATATATTTATTAAATAAATATTTTTAGTAAAAATATTAACAAAATTTTTACTATTAAATAAGTATCGATCAAATTTGAATTATAAATAATATTTTTAATAATTTTTTTACATATTTTAATTTTCACATTAAACGCTATTAATCTATCAATTTAAAATTTTTATTTAATTATTTTTAATAAAAAATTTCACGAATTTCACCTATAAAATTTTATATAAATTTTGTCCAAGTTAACACGAAGGAGTGGATTGAGAAAGACATGGCTAGGTTCGGTCAGGACTTACACAGAGGGCATCCTTTCCTTTGTTGGGTACTCATCCCCAAATAATATATTCCCTGGATATTTTATAGATATATATATGCTGAAAATTAATTGTGGTTATATTATATAAATATATATATATATATTCTTGATTCTAACAAAGAACAGGAATGATATATTGATAAATATTATCTTTGAATCAGATTCAGCCAACCATCTATATATTCCGTCAAAGAATCATTCCTTGACATCTCGTATATTTAATTATTGATATACCTTTGAGAAAAAGAAAAAAAAAACCTTATTTTTCCTTTAATTTCTGGGAATTTCTGCATTGAATCTACATTAATTAACTATTCTTGGATGTTACGTTCATTGATGTCACCTTTGTTATGAATTATCCTGAAAACAAATATATACTTATAACTTCAAGTACCTTTTTTTTTTTTTTCTTTTGACATTTTTCTTCATATATATATATTAATTCTTTGTTTTTTTATACACTTACAATTAATTACATAAAGGAAGATAACTTCCTAGCTGAACTCATATAAATATATATATATATATATATATATATCACATAGTAAATTAGTGATTAATTTCCTCTCTTTAAGATTTGAACATGAAACTTTCAAGTTATTGAAGTTTCAAATTTCAACAGTTAGGATGTCACTTTAAGGATTTCATATATATATATATATATATATATATATTATTGCGTAATTTTTATAACGATATTTATCATTTCATGATTGATCAGAGTGTAAATAAAAAGGTTTTTATTAATTAATTGAGGAAAAAGTGATACATTAAATTTAAAAATATATATTTTTATCATCCCTAGAGCTAGGTATTATATACTCTTATCTGATCATAAATATATATATATATATATATAAAGAGAAAGAGAGAGAGAGAGGTAATTAAAGCATCTATGAATAGCATGAACTCAAATTGTAGAGATTGGGTACGTAGATCATATTTGATATATAAAATAATGAATGGGATAATATGATAATTATTTTATATTATATTTGATTTATATATAATTGAAAAATGTAAGATTATAAAAAAGATTATTATATTTTTGATATAAGATGATTCCTTTTAAAGTGAAAAAAATTATTTTTAATTTATGGATTAAAATTATATATCTTATTATATATTTAAAAATTATATTAATAATTTAAATTATATAAATTAAAAAAATAATTTTGATCAATAAATAAATAAATTATTTTATTTTAATTTTTATATGCATTAAATATAAGATAAGATAATATTACTTAATATAATCATATTCATAATATCATTTTATCATATTTTATTATAATTTTATATATTAAATATTACCCTAATAAATTATTTTCAACTCTACGAATTGGTAAGATAAGATTAATGTCAAAATTTTATAATAAAGCGTATTGTGTAGAACTAGTTTAACGTCAGACATGGATAAAGAATATATATATATATATATTTATTTATTTATTTATTTAAATATGAATCTAGCTAAGAAGCCTAAAAAAGCATGTACTGCATGTTCCAACTATTCCCATTCCCCTAAATTTCCTAGATAAAAAAAATCTAGTTAGCTAGCTAGGTAGGACTAGGATATATATACATATATATATATATATATAATATGCCCTGAATTTAATACATTCAGTTATATTTCATTATATAATTACCACGAGAATGCCAAAGTTGTTGGCCAAAAAAAGGAGAATAATAAAGTGAGACGTCCTGTTGCTGTTGGCCATTCCCTGCTAGTTACCCCATGCATGCTATGATCTGAAAATACTATCAAAACAGAGACTCTTTGATTTGAAGTGGTATTTTGGTTTTCAATGAGAAGGCGATTTTATATCGAATAGAAAGCTCTCCGCTCATAATTATGAGCTAGCTGCTTTGGCATCCTTTCAATTTGCTTGCTTCTAGCTATTTTTTGTTAGCTTTCGCTATATATAGATGGTTTAACACCTGTATATGATTTGATATTGGGAACTGATGCAGGACATGGATCTTCTATTTCTCATTTGTAATTTCTTTTTATTTTCCTTTTATATTTAATTAATTATGTTAATTAATTTGTTGTCATGAACTACATATAGCTAGAGATAGGGTTCAAATTCTCTTGTTATTTTGTGTTAAATATGTAAAAGAGGGAAATTGGTTTAATACTTTCTCTTGAAGAAATTAATCAGTTTGGTTTTTAAAGATTTTATTGTCTTTCATATGATAAAAACTTAACTCTTATCCCTCTTGGTATACGGAGATTTATATCAAAATAATCTTAAACATGCAGAGGCATATACCTGTGCAAATGTTGTATATTTTTAATGAGCTACGTAATTGATTTCGATTTGCAGATTTACGTATGTGTTCAGATTCAGCAAAGATACAAAAGTGCAACAGGCTATTCGCCGATTATTTTTGAAGGCTCATCCCTCGGTGCAGGCAAGCTTGGATATTTGAGGATTCGGCGTCGCATCTCTCCAAAATCCTAACTTACTGCTAGCTGGGCATTTGAATAAATTCATTTAATGGATATTTAGGGTTAAATTTAGAGGAACTTGTTGATGTATCTACCTTGGGTAGAAATTTAAAAGATCAAAATACAACAATAATCTCTGGACACATTTGTGGCATTTTCCATTTGTGTAATCATCTAACACCTTGGATGGAGTTTTAAGAAGATCACAAATGGGTTTATATATTTGCTTAAATTTAGTTAATTTAACATATTTAGTTAATTTAACACCTGATTCCCCACCTGCAATTCTATTTCGTTAAACAGAAGATTATATATTTTCACCAGACACTCCATCGCACATCTCATTTTCACCTTCATGATCACCACAAAAATATATAAACCTCACAGCTCGCACCAGTAACAGCAATGCATTCATCCCATCTCTTGTTTTCGCCCAAACATCATTATTACTATTATGCTAAATTGGCCTAGCATTCCATACGGCTAAATAAAGGATAGGATAGCACCCATAATAACATCCAAAAGTAGATTATTCACACATGGTTTTAGTGCCATTCATATGAAACTGAATTCCCACTCAAGCCACAGATATACCATTCTTTTTAACTAAACTAAATGAGGATGGTACGTGAAATGTGTTTTACGAAAAGCAAAATCAAAGCCATGGGATTCACTACCTTATGAGGCAAACAAACACACAAGACAGACATTGGAAAGAGATACTACGACCATATGATATTGCTAGACGATTCCAAGGTGACTGCAACAAAACCAGTTCTATTTAATGTAAATTTGGTCCTCGGAAATTGAAAGAGGAAAACAAAAAATTTGTAATGAGCAAAAACAAAAGAAAAATATAATAGACCACATGTATTTCTCACAATCAAAACCCACAAAATTCTACAAATTTACACACACTTTTTAGGAACATGGAAAGAAGGTATTAGGGTACAAACCCAATATCCTTGAAGTATTCATGCTCAAGCGCACTTCTTGCTGTAATTCTTTTGCTGGGATCCATGCGCAGCATTTTCTGAAAGATAATAAACAAATGAATCATCAGTTAAAATTGCAGAGATGCGATAGATTTTCTTAATTTCTGTATGAAATTATTCCTTAGCGATCATCAGGAATGGATACAGTAGAGCTCACAAAAACTGCTCTGTATAAAAAAAAATGGTTAGCTCTAAATGAGATAGTTCAAAGAAGAAGCCGTTTCCAAAACTTATTGAGTAAGATCAACCACTTTGAAAAACGATCTCAATCTGCAGTGAGATTGGACTAATATAATCACCAATATACACAAACAAATGAGATTATAATCCAAAGTCATCATGTCTATGCTAAAGCTGAAGAAAGCACATCTATCAACTAAATATTTCGGAACTTAGCAAAAGAAAAAAAAATTGCCATGTTGCTTTAGCTCACAACTCATAAGAACTAGGAAAGATATTTCATCATAAATCCCAATTTGTTACTTGATAGTCACATAGGTGAAGCAAAAAATGCAAAAACACCAAATAAATACTCACAGAGAGGAGGTCAATGCCAGCTGATTCAAGATTGGGAACAACAGTTGCCAAATCCTGCACGTGAAAGGTGTATCAATTAATTCCTCTTAACAATATTTTCTCTCTAAGGTGTTGATGATAGAACATACAACCACTAGATGCCATAAACACAATGCTACCTTAGGCGGCCACTTTGGAAAAGCAGACTTAAAATCAGGCAATGAAATCACTCCAGGCCACGTATCCTCATTTGGAGTACCCAAAATTCTTCATATAAAAAATAATAGATCAGCCTAAAGAGAATGCATAAGTTTTTGAGAACAAATTTGCACTGATATTTTCCTAGGAACCACATGTATAAGGCAATTTGTTATTTTCAATGAACTAAAGAGCTCTATTTTTCTTTGTACATACATGTACAAGTTATGTGTAAGTGTTTTGCATTGGACATATTAAATACTGAAACAGCCATAACAGGCCCGTTCCCAAGGAGGAAATTAATAAATAAATAAATAAATCCAGAGGTCAAAATAAGAATTTTTAACATCATTCGTATCTTCTAATGCTGAACAACTCTTCTTTTAGTCTTTAGTTAGTAGATATGCAAGTTGCAGTCTAGAAAAATGCAAAATAAGAAGTCGTAGTTATGGCAATACATAGCCTTGTGCGCATCAAGAAGGAATAATCCAAATGTCAGAAAAGTAAAATTGTAAGACTCATGAAAGAAAGAGAAAACAAAATCAACTACCAATTTAAATTTAAAAAGAGTTTCACCAAAGAAAAACTAGAAAGAGTTTGCCAAGCTAAGTTTCTTTTTCCTTTTATATAAGCCAAGATAACATTCAAATGACTCAGTTTAGCTCATATTTCCAAATTCATCCCAAATTTAGTGCATATACGGACAAAATGACAAATTTAAAAAAAAATAAAATTTCCCAACATGTGAAGAGGGGAACAACCGGGTAAGAATCCACATAAAAGAATAGAATAAGAGACATTTAACCTTGCTGAACCCAACCACCAAATAAGGGACACTCCTTTGAATGAATTATATAAGACCATCAATGTCCATGTCTGTTTAAACAAAAAAAACTGGCTAGCCACGAGATAAACTTATTCATGCATTGAGGTTACAACCCTGCTCCCCGCATATGCATAATTAAACAATATACTATAATCATTTTTGAGTTAACATTTGAATAACATAATAAAATCTTTATCCCGAGATTGTTCAGAGCAAAGACTCTTAATATATGCACTGAAGGTAAATGCTGAAAAGAACTATAAAAGAACACCAGAAACAGACACAGATAATAACGTTACAACTTCCGTGGAGGGAAACCAAAATAAAATGAAGGCAACAACTTTGTAATATGGAGAGTACAACACCTGAAGATCTTGAACAGTTCATCAATCTCAGAATCCCCAGGAAATAAAGGCCGCTGGTTTACCATCTCAGCAAATATACAGCCCACTGACCACACATCAACTGGAGTAGAGTAATGGCGGGATCCAAGCAGTATTTCTGGTGCCCTGTACCACAGGGTAACCACCTAGAGATAACGACTACTTTTAGAAGCCAGGCTAATATCAGTATGCTTATGTACTGAGATTATTAAGCATGCAAGTAATTAGCCAGGCTTTATTTCCCTAAAATATTTACAACATATCCAACTAGAAACCAACTCAACATGCTCTAAAGGGATCTAAAACTGCATTAGAAACCCCAGAGCAATGGAAATCCTGAATGTAATGTTAGGGAAACTATTTGATACAACCAACAAACTGTAGTTGCTCAGACTCTTTCTTTCCTATTTCAAGAATTGGAATTTCTTCTCAGTAAGTAGAAACAAAATCGTTTCATCCTGCAGAAATGCAGCAAAGCCAAGGGTTTTTCCAGCGAATTGAATTTTTTTTCCAACTTATGATTGTTATTGCTTGTATAAGAGGAAGATGTAATATTACTTTTGAGAGATTGATACCAACTATAAATGCCTAGAAAAAGAGTGGAATAACCAACAATTAGTAAGACAAGTGAAAAGCCAAAAACCTCAAACATGGCGATTTTTTATACCTCATGTGTAAATGTTCTGACAGGAATACCAAATGCTCGGGCCAGCCCAAAATCAGCAAGCTTTAGTGCATTGGTACTGCGATCTATCAGCAAATTTTGTGGTTTTAGATCTCGGTGAAGTACCCTATGAGAATGACAATAAGCAATGCCACGAAGAATTTGATAAAGGAATGTCTGCAAAATGATCAAATAACAACATTATGAGCAATAATATTATCAACCAAATCCATTAGACAACCAAGGCCAACCAATGATTGATAATAGCAAGGTCTTAATGCATTGAAACGAAGATGCCAACCTAGAATACTGTACTTAATAGGGTAAGGAGAGGGGTTGTGCAATTAGACATCTCCTAAAGAGCAGTTTCAAAAGCATCATTTCTGCTTTGTTAAGCTAAAAATTTTTATACAACACATGCAGGTGTAAGATGGCATATTTCTGGCTTCCACCAGACACTTGAATGATTAGTTTGCAGATAAGATAACTAAAATTCCTCACACTTCAGAAAATATTTGTAAATTATCTACACTATAAACAATGAAAACCTACAATAACCATTATATTAAGTCTTTGGACAATGGAGTGTGAAATTTTAAAGCTGTTAAACTTCAAACAGAGTGGAAAGTTTTATGCATATAAACCTTTAAAAAGAAGAAAAATCTCACTTTTATCATTCGTGGATCTTTCCCAAATTCTGGGCATGAATCCATGTGCTTCTTCAAATCCAAGTCCAGATATTCGAAAACCAAATACAAGCGCTTCTCACTATGCACTACATCCTGCAACCTGCCATCCGAAGATCAATCAGAGAAGCTGCCTAACAAACAGTTACAACCAATGTATAGAAGAGACAAGAAGGAGTTAGCACATAGTCCAAACTATGACCAGAATGACCTAGGTTTTCAAACTAGCCAGTTCATGAGCTTAATTTAACCAACCAACGTCGAATTGCTTCCTTAAAGAAAGTAGAGCAACACCATCTGCTTACAGAAAAGTATGGAGTTGCCCTTTTTTATTTATTGCTGTTGCTTTTCTCCCTTACTTTCACTCAATAAATTATATAAGTTTTCAATAATTGATTTACTTCGTCTCATATTAAAGTAAGAGGAGCTGCATTTAAAAATTTAAAATTCTATAGTAGGCAAGTTTAAAATTCTATAGCAGGCAAGATAAGCATCAATAGCTTGCACGACTGCTGTTGTCTTAAAATGCATCATAAGAATGCATGAAGTAAATCTCTAATGAAGAAGGGGTACCACAAGCAGAAAGCAAAATGGGTTCAAAGTAGCAAGCCTGAAACAGCAACGTTATAAAAAGGTAATGGGCAATTGAATTGTGCAGTGCAGTGCATAGCATACCTAACGATATTTCCATGTTGCATTTCTTTCAAGAGAGAAATTTCTCTGATGGCAGTGCTAGGTACACCTTCGTCTTCCTGCTCCAAGCGAATCTTCTTCAAAGCGATTGTTTCATTGGTGATGCGGTCGCGAGCCTTATAAACAACGCCATAGGTTCCTTCACCAATCTTCTCAACTTTCTCGTACTGGAAATTTGAGAACAAAGCATAACGAGGGAAGACAAAGAGATAATGGAGCAAAATAACAGATAAACTGAAATGACAAGGGTTGACTCACTAACCTGGTCCATGTGGCCCATCGCACACGAAATTGTAGGGTCTGCAGCTCCAGTAGAAGAGAAGCATCATAGTAAAAGTTGCAGAAATAAATAAGCAGAAAAGAAAACCCGATTAATCAGCAATCATTCTAATGCTTGAAAACCTTTGCGGCATGGAATTGCAGTTAGAGGAAGATGCAGTAAGCCGAATCGAAGAATTGCAGTTAAGGTTCAAACCGAGCGGGCAAAGCAAATGAATATCAATCCATCCAAACAAGAAAATAGTAAAAGGAAAAGGCAATGAGAGAAGAGAGAACCAACCTCAAATGAAAAAGGGATTTGATTCAGAGTCAGTCACTCAGTCGAGGCGAGCAAGACTACTGCTATTTCTATTTCTATTTTAAGACTTGTTGCTCAACATCAACCCTAAAGCCGACACCCATTTTCACTTCTCGCCTCTAATTTTTCTTCCCAACAATTTGTTTAACATATCAACGTATTTTTTTAATCTTGGCTTAAAATTCATAACTACATTTATACGTAACATTTTTTAAAGCTAATTAAATGTTTTGCCACGTGTCAGAAAATTCCACAATCTCTTTTTTTGTTTTATATTTTTTTGTGCTTAAAAATTAAATAAATAAAAATTTTAAAAATAAAATTCGTATTTTTATTTTATTTTTCATATTTATTCATATATAAATTTTAAATATATATTTTCTATAAAATAATAAAAAGATTTATGTGTAATTAAAATTTATCAAATTATTAAATAAAATGGATATAAATAAAATATAAAACTTATTAGTAAATTTAACACAGGTGAATTTTTTTAATTTAATTTTTAATTTTATTATTTTTTATACTATTGATCTTCTTGGAATTTTATTATTTTATTAATTTAATTTAATTTTAATTTATTGTTATTATTTTATATTTGAAAAAAATTATGGTTAAAAAATAAAAAACTTTTAAGGCGGAACAAAAATCTTGGCCCAAGACCTCCTCCGTACTTTTCCACCGTCTATGGCCTTTTTATGTGAAAGAAGAAAATACAAGACTCTAGGAACATGTATCACGTGTTGTGGACATGTGGGGTGTTTTTTATTTTATTTTATTTTATTTTTTGGTTTTTTTACAATATTGATCTCCGATGGGTCTTGAGACACTAGGCCAATTTTTTTTTATATTTAATTTTTTTATATAACTGCCCTTTAATATTTTTTTAAATTTATTTTTTATTTGATTTGATTAGAGAGGGAATAAATAAATAATTTTTAAAAAAATGAAAGAAAAATTATCATAATATTTATTTTTCTCTAATAAAAACCAACATCAACATTTACAATGCCTGCACATCTACACTGTATTAAATAGTGACTATATACTATATTTTATACAAATCTATACTATATTTAAAATTTTCAGTTGCTACTAAATAAGATCATCAAATGTTAAAACCTAAAAAGTAAATAAATAATAAGAAAGGCGCAAAATAAAAATCATATAATAAATTTTAGAAAAGGAAAAAACTTAAAAGTCATGAACATAATACATTTACATTTCACGTGCCACTGATGATCCATTTTATTATAGTTAATTTTGTATCTCTTAATCTCTATAATTAATTGATATATTAAAATTTGACCAATACAAAGCTAGAGGGCCAAACATTAATATTAAAAAAAAAATGTGAATACTCTTCTTTTTAATCGTTACACCTGTTAACAAAGTGTTTGATGCCCGCGGGAAGAACACAAATGATAAATGATGATATACAAAACCATTTACTCGTAGGTGAATCTGATCGGACAGCAATTACAAGCCCTTATTCAATTGAAAGGGATCAAAGTGGATTGGTAGTAATTTTTCAAGGCGTACCTTTACACTTCATTTTTTTATTTGACAAATAAAAAATATAAATTTAATTCAATGTTAAATTTAAAACCCATAATGATGTATGCTCGTGTTCCTAATCGAGCTAGTTTCCCTTTGTGTTCATTATCTCCACAAATCTGAATGGTAATCCAGTATTTATGAAACACTTCATTGACGTCACCAACTTGAATTTGAATTATTCAAATAAAAATTGTTACCATCGCTTTATAAGCAAAATGAAATTTCCCAACTTGTGAAACTTCCACAAATATTTTTACTTTATAATTTTATATATATATATATATATATATATATATATATATAAAACCCTAAGGAAAAATGGTACATGTCTACAGAAGCAGTTTTTCCATGATGTAAAGTGATCTATATCAATGTGTATATAATCACAAGTTCCCGGTAAGATATCTCAATGTTTTTTTAGTCACACATCCAACCAAGAACCAAAACCAATGACAAATCCAGAGATAAAGAGTTCCTATAACTACCTACAGGCTACAGATGAGATCAAAGGGCAACCCGAATCACCTTTTAACAAAAGAGAACATCTCACTCAATATTGATATGCATCTTATCCAACTAGATCCCTTGCCACTACTTTTTCAGTCACTTCCTTAATCTCAGGACCAGCTGTCACAGAGCTGTTGCTCGCGAGTACACCCTCACTCATGCTACCACTGGAATCTTTTTTTGTATCTGATTTCAAGGGGGTTCGTACAAGGAGGGCTAGAACAAGAAACGTGATCTTCCAATTGTTTTGGCCTATTTAGGGCATGGCAGTGTGGGCAGTAATAAGTTATATATAGGAAATCCTCCTTTCTGGTAAGTCCTGAAGAACACCCGAAAAGAAAAACATTTTGGAGTTTAACATTCTTCTGCAAGAACACTACAAGTGTAGTGCATATTTTTGCAGTTAGGTCGAATCAGGGGTTGAGCGATATTCTTGAGTTTATATTATAACCGCAAAAGTAAATTCCACTAACCATTGTGTATATGGCAGTTGCCACATATGAGTGCATAAGACTGTGTTGGATCTTCGCCCACAAGCAAGACAGCAATTCGAGCAAGCCATCCCCCATCACGCGTGGAAGGTCCCTGTGGATAGTAATGATCAACAACTAGTTGATCATGCTCAGAAGCACGAGGACACCCATTCCTTGCAGAATGAGGTATTTCTTCATCAGAATGAAGCAATAGAGTGCTTCCTGTACTACTGGATCTAGTGTGCAATTGCTTTCTTTTTCGAAGCCCACTTGATGGCACTACCTCAACATCATTGTTCTTCTCCCCTGGCTCATTAAGCCTAGATTCATCTCCAACATAGACTTTCAAACCAGAATCTGCACCCAATTTTGATGCCAGGACAGTTGCAGCGGCAGCCTTTGCTGCTGGATCAGGACCATACCTCTGCATCAAAGTGCTTTAAATAAGCTTGATTTGCATATGATAGAACTAGAGAGCAAATGATACACTCAAGCTCGCAAGCTATTCAAGCTCAACTCGGATAAAATTCATATTTGGGTCAATCATTGGTGAGTTGAGCTTGAGTTCCAGCAACTTAACTTATTAAGCGAACTGAATTCAAGCATTCTAATGTTTGGTTCGAGTGGCTCCTAAGCTTAATCGAACTTTTTTATTTTAATATATATTTTTATTATTTTAATTATAAATTTACAATTTTAGCCTTATCTATATACTTAATTTTGTAGAAAATGAGAGAAGGAGATGGTGTCCACAATGCACCCCATCCTTCTTCCGTTCTTTATTATTTTATTTATTATTTTTTGTTTTTATTTACTTTTTTATTTTTTAAAATTTTTTATTAAATAAATTTTGTAAAAAAAAATCAATAAAGGTAAGGATGATAAAACAATCCTTATCTAATTGGTTTTCATTTGCAACGATCCAATCTTGGTGCCTTTTTTTTTTTTTTTAAATTGAGACTGGTTTGAGGTTTTGTTTTAAAAAATGGGATTAGGTTGAAGACGAATTTAAGATATTCCGTCCCGTTTTGGGTGTCCATGTAGCACCTCTCTCTTTTTTTTTCATTATTTTTAAAGCTTTTTTTTTTTTTTTTTAATCTTTTTACATGTATTTTTTTATTAGAGAAATTTTGTAATAAAAAAGACAATTGAGATAGAAATAGTAAAATAACCGTATATCTGAGGAATTTCCATTCGCCCCAATCTAATAAGTGCTCTTTCTTTTAATTAGAGATAATTTAGATTGAATTTTTTTTTTTTTAAATTGAACTAGGGTAAGAGTAAGATTTTGAGTATTACGTCTCCCCTTAGCATATATAAAAATATATTTTTAAAATTAAATATATTTATTTTATTAAAAAATATTATTTAATATCTTAATTTAACAAATTTACGTATCATCCCATTTGGTTTTTTGGTTATTTTTTGTTTTTTAAGTTTTCATTTATTAGATAAATTTTGTAAAAAAAGAGTCATTAGATGAAGGGATGACAAAATAACTTATATCTAATGAATCTCAATTCACGCAATCCAAACGATGCCTTTTTTTTTTTTTAAATAAGAACGGATTAAATTTTACTTCTTTGAATAATTTGGATCAAGTCAAAATCAAATTTGGGGGCCTTTATTGACTCTTTTCAAGATATATAAAAAATTATATTTAATTATTTATTTGATTATATTTATATATGTATTATATTAATAAAAATATTATTTGATACCTTAATTTAATAAAAAACTACATTTATATATAATTAAGTTATAATTTATATTAAAAAAATAAATACATTTATATTTGTCTATATGTTCTCATCAATTAAAATTTGACAAATTTTACTTTTCTCATTTTTAAAACATAATTTAAAAAAAAATAAAAAAATAATCCAGCAACAAAGCACGGCTCTAATTCTAGTATATAAAAAACCCTAAACAATATGACATTCTCTTTTGTTGTCCTCTCCCTTTCAGGGACACCCCTTTTCTCTCATTCTCAATCCCATTCCAGCAACCACCCCTTTTCTTTCTTGCACTCTTCCTTCATTCCTCACTCTCACTTTCAATGTCGCCCTTGTTCTCTCTTTTCCAATCTCATCCCAGAGCCACCCTCCTCCTTTTTAGCACTCTTCCTGCATGCCTCATTATGGCATAGCTGTCTACAAACTGAACAGGATATCAAGATTATTATATCCACATACCTACCCCTTCTTCTATCAACATCAGTTTACATAAAAAATTCAAAGGCATTAACTCAAAATAGGAGCCGCAGCTGCTCATAGTAATTTTGCTAAACCTTTAGTTGCGCCCCTTGGCTAAAAGGCTGCTGCTCATCTTAAGGCTGAAGGGAGTAATTTTGCTAAACCTTTAGTTACACCCCTTGGCTAAAAGCTTGCTACTGAATGCTGCCTGTTTCTACTTTAACTACTTAAAGAAAAAAATAACTGTTTGAATGATATAGCGCTAGCAATAGTGCTTGTTTTAGTGCTGCCTCTTTTTTGTTTACAATTTTAGTGCTGCCTATTGTTGTCTTGATTAGTTAGATTGAGATTTTCAATTTTTTATGCTGAAAAATTTTTGGATTTGGTTATTTGGATTTAATTTGCTAAATATTAATGAGATTTTTA